TATAAAAGGGCAACATGAGGGATCCTTGTGCTGATGAAAGTGTTCTGGATCCTGACTGTTGTTGTTGCAATATGCTGTTGAGTTGATTCCAACTCATAGCAACCCCTCCTTGGGTTTCCGAGGCAGTGTCACTACAGAAGTAGATTGCCCCATCTTCCTTCTGAGGAGTGGCTGGTGAGTTTGAACCGCCAGCCTTCTGGTTAGCAGTCAAGTGCCTTAGGCACTACACCACTAGAGATCCTTACTGTATCAATGTTAATTCCCTGGTTACACTAGAGTTGTGTGAGATGTTACTATTGGGGGAAATTGGGTAAAGCTTATCTGGGATCTCTCCATATTATTTTTCTTTATTATTTGCTTTACCTGCATGTTAATCTACAGTTATCTCATAATAATAAGTTTTTGTAAAAGATATATATTCTTTCTTTTTCCACAGTGGATTTACTGCACTCTTTTGAATAGTTGCTGGTGTGTTTTATTGGAATGCCTCAATGGGATTCTACCCACACTGGCTTGGTGTATGTGGGTTTCTGCTTCTATCTCATCTTTTCTCCTCCCCTTCATGCTCTTTTCCTATATTTCTCATAAAAAAGAGGAAGGAGCAGTTTTTTTCTTTTCTTTTTCTTTTTTTTAAAGAGAGAAGGAAAAAAAAAAAAGCTTTTCTTGGATTATGTTATAATTCTTGGATCCTTTGAAATAAATAATTAAAAAAAAGTAAACTAAAGAAAAAGCTCTATGTCAGATGGGGATGGAATGGAAGACTCACAAGTAACATGTGGACTCTTTCCAGATTTGCCACAAACACACTGATTCAGATTTGAGACTGAAAACCTGAGGAGAGGCTTGGCAGCAGGAGAAGGTGTAAAGCGAGGTTGCAGACTGGCAGCCCATAGGCCAGATTCCATGGACATGTTTTGCTTGGCTCTCATCGTGTTTGAAAAATATTCAAATTATTTGAACACATGAAGTTTTCACCATAAAACTCTCGGTTTACAGCTTTGCTTGAGGAATCGGAAGCACTTGTGATGGGACTGTGGCTAGTTGGTGGCTGGCCCCGGGAAAGAGCATGGCTCCTGGGCGCAGCCCATGCAAGCCTGTGTGGGCCCTGGTTTTGGGGTTTGCTGCCTCTGGACTTGGGCTTGCTCCACTATTCACCAACTGGGAGACTTTGGGCCTGGCTCTTCAGTGGCTTCTTCCCTCCCATTCTGCTGCCTCATGGCCTTGATGAATGAGAGCTTATCCAAAACCACAAAGCACAGTGCATATGGGAAGAGTGTAAATTCCCAACTTGCAATGGCTGTGGGTCAAGTGGGTATTAGGGAAGAGACCCTTAGTGGCTCTACATGGACACACAAGGAGCTATCTCTGGTATCTTCTAAACAGTAAAACCAAACCACTTGCTGTGGTATCAGTTCAACCCATGGCAGCTCTGTGTGTGTTAGAGTAGAACTGGGCCCCATAGGGTTTTCAGTGGCCGATTTTCAGAAGTGGAGCATCAGGTCTCTTCTTCCGAGGTGCCTCTGGGTGGACTTGAACCTCCAACCTTTTGGTTAGTAGCTGAGTGTGTTAATCCTTTGCACCACCCAGGGACTCTGGTGCTTTCTAAAATACCAAAAAATCAAACTCACTGCCATGGAGTCAGAGCCGACTCATAGCAACCCTTCCTTGGGTTTCCGAGGCGGTATCTTTACGGAAGTAGATTGCCCCATCTTCCCTATTTCTTTTCTCATTTTTTAAATTTAAAATGTGTTTTAAAAGTGTGTTCTAAAATTATTATTATTATTTTAAAAGATCCATGCCATCTATGTGGTACTTTATAGAGCATATCCAGCTACAGCTGGCGTACTTCTGGGTGTTTTATGGCAAATTATTCTCAGATTACCCTTTAATGCAGGAAGGTCTGCCTGTTGTCTGAGCTCTTTGGGTCATATAGAAACCCCTCAGACTTGATACAAAACAGCTGCCTTGGTCAGCTGTTCCAAAAAAGAAGCATTTTCAGGCTGAAGCAGCAGGAAAAAGGTTTTTATAGCTGGTAGAGATTTTGAAAAATGTTAAATTACGTTTTCCTTGCCATTAAAAAGTGATTTAATTTTGTTATTAACAAATTGTATAAGTCTGAAAAGAAGTACTCGGAATGTGAGTTTGTTAAGTGCTTTCTGGAAATACTTACAGTATGTCCTGGGGAGGCATTCTCTAGGGAGGATGGCAGCACAAAACTTCAGCTGACCTCCACACCCCTTGGCCTCAGCTAAGCTGGCCCAGGGGTCATGGGGCCAACCTTCTGGCCTCCCTCCTCTTACCCCTCTTGGTCCCTGCTGAGAATGGCAACAAAAGGGTCAATTGTCTGAGGCCTCCCTTTGTCTGAGGACTTCATGGGCCTCTCTGAATGACAGTGTATCTGGGCATGTGTGTAAGTGCATGTGTGCATGCCTTTGTGTGTATATATGTGCACACATGCTTGTGCATGCAATATGTGCACATGTAAGTGTATGCATGCTTATGTATGCATGCATGTACATGTGTCTGAGTGTGTACAAACATACATATGAGTATGTGTGTGTATGCACAGAGGCATGTGCACAGTATGTGTGTTCATGTATATCCACACATGCAGCAGCGGTGGTGAACCCATTGCCATTGAGTCAATTCTGACCCATAGTGAATCTCCAGAGTAGGGTAGAACTGCCCCTTTGGGTTTTCAAGGCTGTAAATCTTTTGCAGAAGCAGACTGCCTTATCTGTCTCCTGCGGAGCAGCTGGTGGGTTTGAACTATGAGCCTTTTGGTCAGTAGCTAAATGCTTTAACCACTATAGCATCAGATCATCTGGTGGGCAGTGGTGATACTTGCTTAATGTATTTCTTCTTAGCTGGGTGCTGATGCTTCTTAGTGGACTGAGAGGCCTTGGAGAAGCTTTACTGACAGATGGAGATTCCTAAGGTCAAGGGAGAAAAACGTCTCTGGCTCCTCTATTAGCAGATTATGCAGTTGCCTGTGTTTGGTATTTGTTCTTGTACAAAACCCTCAGAGAGTATTTATTTTGTTTATTTATTTTTTACCTCCCTTACCTTCTCTAGGGTCCAATAATATGTAGGAGTGAGGAGGAAAAGGTCTAAGGAGGCCCCTTATACAACTCAGTGGCCAAGTAGGGCCTGTTCCAACCTCAGGCTTCACAGTGAGGCACACAAGAACTTTGCTACACTGTTTCAGCACCTCCCTGGTGCTAATTGGATCCAGTACATTCTGTGTGGAGTTTGAGGCACATTTCCAGAATGATGTGGAAATGTCCCATCCCTGTCCCACCTCATAAGTAGGTTCCCATGTAGCGCCAGACCTTTGTATCAGCTCTGGTCCTCTCGCTAGATGGCAGGTCTTTAATGAGCCCTTTCACACGGAGGCCTGCAGGGAGCATGGCTGGTTTGGCATGGGTGCATGTCAAATCTGTGTCCTGGAGTCTCTGAGATTCTGTTTCTTCCTTAACAAAGATGCCCTTTTAAAAATGACAAGAAACTACACTTGATTCAGAAGCCAGGAAAAAACTAATAAAAATGTTAGTTGAAGTTCACCTTTAAGAAGGATTTATCTCCCAACCCTCCTTTAACCAGCATAGCTGCCATTTGACAGCTTTTCCAATGTTTCTCTTCTTGTCCTCTAGCCCCCACTTCCCCTCCCTATTCCAAAAAAAAAAAAAAAAACAAAAAGCATTGCTATCGAGTTGGTTCCGACTCATAGTGACTCTACTCCAGTAAGGGTTTATCTTTCAACTGTGGAAAAGCCACCAATTAAACAGTGCTCCAAAAGTTATCAAAATATTCAGCTGGTAAAGCTATCTTATAATTAGCCTAACTGTAAGCCAGAACTTTCTAACCCCAGGAAATGTAAAGTTACCCAGCAGGTGAAATCTGCAAATTGGTCATCTGGACCTTTTGGCTACAGTTTCTGTTTTATTTCTTTCCCAAAGCAATTTCCTCCTTGTCCTTTAAATTCTTGATTTCCCTGAGGTATCTTCCTCTTCTGTTTGTGTAAGTCTCAAAGAAACAGACTCCTGGTTTAACTGAGATAGACAGTTGGATCAATTCAGGTGAATGTAGTATGAATTCAACTTGATTTTGTGTATTTCATGCCTCCATTTTTAGGTGAAGGAGCTCTGGTGGTGCAGTGGTGTAAAATATTCGGCTGCTGATCGACAGGTCGGCAGATCAAACCCACCAGCAGATTTACAGCCTTGGAAACCCTATGAGCAATTCTACTGTGTCTTGAGGATTGCTTTATGTTAGAATTGATGTGATGGCAGTGGGGTGTTTTTCGTGGGTTTTTATCGCATGAGAGGTTTCTATAACACCCCTGCAGAATAAAGAGGAAATCGCAGTTTCACCTCGGCCTCCTCTTGTTGTCATGCCCAACAATTGTGTGCACCCAAGCAGACTGTCTCTTGATTTCACACGTGTTATTTTCAGCTCAATTTCTTTGCTGCCTCCAGAACTGAGGCTTGTTAGCTCTGGGTTTATGGGATCGAAGTGAAAAGCTGTGCTGATCTTCCCCAGGGGTCTCTGGCCCAGGTGGCCAGTCCCTTGATGGCCTGTGCTCCACTTGGTGCCCCAAGGGCAGGGAGAGGGGAGACTAACTTCTAGGACCTGTGACCATGGTCTCCTAACATGGACTGGCTTAGCCATAAACCTTGGAACCAGTCACACACTGCAATCTCCCCCATTCCCTGCTTTGTTTCAGAGCTGAAAAACCTGTTCTCGGAGTCTTTCCAGATGAGGGAGACCTCTGTCTGATTCACAGTGTAGTGTTTTAGGCCTCTTTAAGACCTTTTCAAAATATGAATATCCTTTAAGAGCTAAGTTGAAACTAAAGATCTGTCATTAAAATGTGTTATTTATGAAGCATACGCAGTAGGACATTTTATGAATAATTGACCATATTAAGTTAATTTTCTTGAGTATCCAACATATTCTTGACATAATTTAATATATTTTTTTTCTCTTTTTAATTACAGCTTGGGTTGACAATAGCCATTCGTTACAGCCACAGGTAAAGCTTTAAAAATTTTCTTTTAAGAAACATTCTTATATTGTATAGCAGTTGGTTTGCTATAGTATAAAGGTTCTGGTGCTTATTTTTATTTTATGTTTTGTATGTGATTTCTCTACCCATTATGCCCATGTCGAAACAATTAGATGAAATCATTTTATTTGCTTGATAGGCGGGGTGAGTTGCTATTTGAAGGAATAAAGTTTTTACATAAAAGTTGTGGTAGGTAGCACATTTCTTTAAAATATGATGAGCTCTGGTAGCATAGTGCCTAAGGCACTTGACTGCTTACCAGAAGGCTAGCGGTTCAAACCCACCAGCCACTCCTGAGAAGGAAGATGGGGCAATCTACTTCCGTAGTGATACTGCCTCAGAAATCCAAGGAGAGGTCTCTATGAGTCGGGTCCGACTCGATGGCACATAATAACAACAACAAGTGCAGGGACCCAGGAGTGGTTTCTGGAAATGTACTCTCTGTCCAAGGAGCCCTGATGGGGCATTGATTAAGTGCCCGGCTACTAACAGAGAGGTTTGGTAGTTCAAACCCATCCATGGAGGCCTTGGGAGAAAGTCCTGGCCATTTGTTCCTGTAAAGATTACAGCCGAGAAAAATCCATGGGCGGTTCTACTCTGTCACACAGGGTTACTATGAGTGAGAGTCAGCTTGATGGCACCCAACAACCATACCAGTTCTCTGTCCAAGTGTCAGAAACAAAATCAGGGACACCCTGTGTGAGAGCCAAGGCCAGGAAAACAGAAGCCAGGCAAGGTGTTGTCGTTGAAGCCCTTTTCCCCTCCATGGGATATTTTCCTCTCCTTTCTCAGGTATGTGTGAGTAAGGCCAATGCTCCCCTTGGTTTTTGTCCTGCTTCATGATTTCTGCCTTTGTCTCAATTGCATAAATTTATGGAAACCGTTGTTTGTTTTAGTAGGTCAACCCTTTCTCCTTTGCACTCATCAAAATGTCTTAAAATGTTGAATTAATTAGAGCAAAATGCCAAGGGTGGTCAGCACTGTGCTCTTATTGTTGTTGTGTGCCATTGTGTTGGACCCGACTCATAGTGACCCCTCCTTGAGTTTCTGAGGCAATTCACTATGGAAGTAGATTGCCCAGGCTTCCTTCTGAGGAGAGGCTCATAGCCTTGCCAAAGTGCCATTGTGGATAATGGGCTTAAATTCATTTTCCTCTGGGTACAGGCTGAACTCTGGGACATTTGGCATTCTCTTGCTATTGGAAAGGTCCAAACCAAAACCAAACTCACTGCCTTGGAGTCGGATTTGACTCATAGTGACCTCTCCTTGGGTTTCTGAGGCAGTGTCACTATGGAAGTAGATTACCCAACCTTCCTTCTGAGGAGTGGCTGGTGCGTTTGAACCTCCAGCCTTCTGGTTAGCAGTCAGGTGCCTTAGGCACTACGCTACACTACCAGAGCTCCTTGGTTGGTTGTTGGTTGCTGTTATTATTCACCTCATAGGCCTGTCTACTACTTGGCTGAAAGTTGAGCCACAGGGGTGACTTTAGTTCTAGTTTTGAAGGAAGGGTGACTAAGGGCCAGATTAGGGGTTCTACCAGTCTCCATTAGACTAGTAAATCTGGTCTTTTTTATGACTTTGAATTTTGTTACATATTTTTCTCCCACTCTATCCAGGACCTCCTGTTGTGATTCCTTTCAGAGCACTCAGCAGCATGGGCAAGCATCATCTAATTTTTCTGGTCTCAGCATTGTAGAGGCTGAAGTACACATGGTCCATTAGTCCTTGGTCTAACTGTTTCCTTTTATCTTTTATTTTCTTCACTTTTCTTTGTTCTGGACAGGGAGAGACCAATAGGTGCACCTTAGATGGTTGCTCATAAACTTTTAAAACAGCATTCACTACTCACCAAAGTAGGATATAGAACATCGTCTTTGTGAATTGTGTGAGGGACATTTTTGGATATCCTTGGAGGAAGGTTGCTTCAAAGATGCTCATGATCACTTGTATGTTTCAGAGGAGTCATACATGTGCATGGTGCTTGCACATAGCAGAGTCATGGAGTCCTGCAGGTCATGGTGCTGCCCTACCTGAGTAGCCAGGGTGCTGCCACAGATTGAGGCATATGAACCTGGTATTAGTGACATGCTGCAATACCATCCTTTCATTGCTTTGTTTTAGAGCTGAAAGAGCTCTGTTTTGAAGTCTTTCCTGATGAGGGAGACCTTCTGTCTAATTCACAACACAGTCTTTTGTAGTTAGGAAGCATGGTGTGGACACTGGATACTGGATGTGTTGTATCGGGGAGGGGACTGGAAATGCTCTCTCAAGAACTTCCAAGAGCCTCTTTTTGTAGAATGTCCTAATTGTGATCTGCTCTAGAATTAGATTGTGTGTGTGTGTGTGTGATATTTTAACATTTCCTTTCTATCCTTTTCATTGAGTTTTCCTCTCAGTGATACACGAGTCTTGCACATCAGGGAAAGTAGGTATCTGTTTATGCAGGAGAGCTAAAGGTGCCTCTCCTTAAGAAAGCTGAGATTTTGTTTTAGCTCTGAGAACAATGTATGCTCTTTCCCATGATGGTGAAGCTTACTGTCCTGTGGCTCTGGGGAGAGCTATAATTTGTGCAGAAAGTTAAACTATGTTGATTGAAAACAAAGGTTTCTTTTTATATATTGTCAGGCTGAGGGAATTTTTGTCAGAATTGGTTTCATGATAATGTTTTCTTCTTTTTTTGTGTGTGTTCAACCCTGTCAAATCAAGTAAGATAAGACAACAGTAAAAGCAGGATAGACCTGAGAAGGGCCTGGCTTCTTGGTGCCTTTGCCTTCTTGCACTAGTCTGTGGTTTTGGGCCTACTCCCTCACCAGAGGCCATGGTGGGGCCTAGCATCTTTCTGTATTGTCATCAACATGTTGCTCAGTTGGTGGAGACTCTTCTCTGGGCTAAGAATGCCCTTGATTTGGGAAGGATACAGGTCTTCTTTGCCTTTACTGGTAGTCATGGTGTCTCTCTTAGGATTGAGGGAGGTAGATGAGCTCTGGGCCTGGAATGGACTTTGCATTTGTTTCCCAGAGCAGGCCAGCCTTGCTGAGGAACCATAGCCCTTTAGGAGGAAGGGCACCTGTTAGGGGCCAATGAGCATTCTGATGCTCACCTGTAGGATCCTGTCATATGTTCAGACTTAAGACTTGGGAAAATGGAGAAAACGGTTTAATCTCTGAATCTTCAAACATGTCTCTGGTGTGTCCCTGGCTCTAGTCTCTCTGGACCAACGCATTTCTTTTATAATACTTTGCTAAGAAACTGGATGGAAAATAGCCAGTGACTTAAAGTGGTCAGTATTGCTTGACATCCTAAACACTATGTCTTAGAAGCTGAGTGGTTTTAGATAACTTATCTGTCTCCCCAGCCTTATACTCTGTAGCCTTATACTCTGTAGTTTATAAGCAGATTTGTTTCTCATTTGTTATCTAAAAATACCTATTCTGAAGGTTGTTGTGAAAAAGAGATTTTAGGCAGAAAGCATTGATCTCATGGATGGCATAAGAAGGTCTGTGGCAAAAGATACTGTGATTTTTAAAGCACTGACCATCTTAATCTGAGAGAAGGGTAAATACTTCTATAATGAGACCAGAGCAAGCCCCCAAATCCATCCATGTGAGTTCTTTGCTCTAAAATGAAAGGTTTTGGGTGCAAAAATCCTTATTAAAAACTCTTTATTAGAGAGTGGAGAGCTTTGGAATTGCTCATTCTGCAGCCACATTTGTGGAGCCTCTTCTATTTCTATGGCTGTATAATGCCATAAAACCACCATAAAAAGTTAAGGGATTTGTGAGTCAGAGATTTGGAAAGGGGGGTGAAGATGGCTTCTCTTTGCTTCATGGAGTCTGTGGCCTCTACTAGAAGACTTGAGAGCTGGGGACTGGAACCATGGGAAGTCTTGTTCACTCACATGTCTGTTGGGTGATGGTGGATGTTGGCTGAGGTCTCTGTTCTTCTCCACATGGGCTCTTCATATGGTCTCCACATGGGCTATTGGACTCCTTCACAGCATGGCAGTTGGTTTTCTCAGAACTAGTGTATTGCGAAGAGAGAGTCAAGTGGAAGTTGTTTCATTTCTGTGACCCAGCCCAGGAAGTCACATAGCATCATTTCTACCTTATTCTATTGTTTGGGCCAGTCACAAGTCCCATCTGTGTTCAAAGGGAAGAGCAGAAACTTCACTTCTCAGTGGAAGGTAAGTTGGTCACATTATAACAAAAGCAGATGGCAAATGGGAGATATTGGTGTGACCATCTTTGGAAAATGCAATCTGTCACAGAGCTCAGCTGAATGTTGGAATATGTATTTGGAACATGTGTGGAAAGAAATTTAAGACACTGTCCTTCCTGAAGCCACTAATTTGTTGTCGGGTGCTGTTGAGTCAGTTCTGACTCATGGTGAACCTGTGTACAACAGAACAAAATATTGTCTGGTCCTGCACCATCCTCAAAATTTTTGCTGTGTTTGAGCCTATTGTTATAGCCACATTGTCAATCCATCTTGTTAAGGGTCTTTTTTTTTTTTTTCCTGACCCTCTGTTTTACAAAACACGATGTCCTTCTCCAGGGACTAGTCCTTCCTCAACATGTGCAAAGTATGTGAGACAAAGTCTCACTGTCTTTGCTTCCAAGGAGCATTCTGGCTGTACTTCTTCTAAGACAGATTTGTTCATTCTTCTGGCAGTCTACATTACATTCTATATTCTTTGTCAACATCATAATTCAAATGCTTCAATTCTTAGTTGGTCTTTCTTATTCATTGTCCAGGTTTCACATTCATATGAGGTGGTTCAAAATACCATGACTTAGGTCAGGCACACCTTAGTCTTCAATGTGACATCTTTGCTTTTTAACACTTTTAGGGAAGTGTTTTGCAGCACATTTGTCCAATGAGGTGTGTCATTTGATCTCTCTTGACTGCTGCTTGCATGGGCATTGATTATGGATTAAGTAAAAGGAAATCCTTGGCAACTGCAATAT